GAAGGAAAGCTTCCTAATTAATTCTGTGAGGCCAGTATAACCGTGACACCAAAACCAGAAAAACACTAAAAAAAAAAAAAAAAAGAGAGAGAGAGAGAGAGAGGGAGAGACAGAGAGAGAGAGAAAGAACTACAAGCTACAAGCCAGTATCTGTGATAAAACTGATGCAAAATCCTCAACAAAATACTAGCAAACTGAATTCAACAATACATTTAAAAAAAATTGTCCACCATGATCAAGTGGGTTGTATTCCAGAGATGAAAATGTAGGTCAATATTAGCAAATCAATCAACATGATACATCACACCAACAAGACAAGGGATAAAAACCACATAATTATTTCAATAGATTTTGCAGAAAAGCATTTGACAAAGTACAACATTCATGATAAAACTCTCAACAAAGTAGGTTTAGAGGGATTATACCTCTACATAATAAAGGCCATCTAGGAAAACCCATAGCCGTCATACACAATGGTGAAAAAGTGAGCTTTACCTCTAAGATCAGGAACAAGACAAGGATATCCACTCTCACCACTTTTATTCAATATAATATTGGAAGTCCTACTCAGAGTAATTGAACAAGAAAAAGAAATAAAAGGCATCCAAATTGGTAAAGAAAAAGTAAAACACTCAGTATTTGCAGATGACGTGATAATGTACATAGAAAACCCTGAAGACTCCACCAAAAATTGTTAGAACTGATAAATGAATTCAGGAAGGTCACAGGATACAAAATTGTATACAGAAATCTCTTGCATTTGTATACACTAATAATGAAGTAGCAGAAAGAAAAAATTAAGAAAACAATCCCATTTTAATTGCACCAAAAATAAGAAAATACTTAGGATTAAACTTAACCAAGGAGGTGAAAGACTTGCACTCTGAAAACTGTACAACACTAATGAAAGAAACCGAAGATGACACAAACAAATGGGAAAATATTCCAAGCTCATGGGTTGGGAAAACCAATACTGTTAAAGTGTCCATACTATCCAAAGAAATCTACAGATTTAATGCAATCTCTAACAAAATACTTTGCATCTTTCACATGCAATGTGAAAAAGAAGAACAAAATGGGAGGTATCACACTCACAGATTTCAAGATATACTATAAACTGTAATAATGAAAACAGTATGGTATTGGCACAAAATAGACACACAGATCAATAAAACAGAGTAGACAGCCCAGAAATGAACCTGCACTTTTATAGTCAATTAATCTAAAACAAAGAAGGAAAGAATATTCAATGGGAAAAAGAAATCTCTTCAACAATTTGTGTTGGGAAAACTGGACAGCTACATGCAAAAGAATGAAACTGGATCACCTCTTACACCATAAACAAAAATAAATTCAAAATGGTTTAAAAACCTAAATGTGAGACCTGAAACCATAAAAGTCCTAGAAGGAAACATAGGTAATAATTTCTCTGCCATTGGCCATAGCAATATTTTTCTAGATATGTCTCCTTTGGCAAGAGAAATACAAGCAAAATTAAACTATTGCAACTATACCAAAATAAAAAACTTTTGCACAGCAAAGGAAACCGTCAACAAAACAAAAAGACAACCTTATGAATGGAAGAAGATATTTGCAAGTGATATAACCAACATATTCAAAATATGTAAAGAATTTACCCAACTCAATACCACCACCCACAAATAATCCAATTAAACAGTGGGCAGAGAACACGAATCAACATTTTTCCAAAGAAAACACACGGATGGCAAATAGACACAAGAAAAGATGCTCAACATCACTATAAGGGAAATGTACATCAAAACCACAATGAAATACCACCTGACAACTTTCAAAAGGCTAAAATCAAAAATACAAGAAATAACAAGAAATACTAGAAACAACATGTTCAGGATTTGGAGAAAAATGAATCCTGGTACACTGTTGGTAGGAATGCAAACTGCTGTAGCCACTGTGGAAAATAGTATGGAAGTTCCTCAAAATATTAAAAATAGAATTATTATTAAAATAGAATTTATTATTAAAATAGACTTTATTATTAAAATAGAATTATTATTAAAATAGAATTATGATTCAGCATTTCTACTATTGAGTATTTACAAGAAAAAATGAAAACAGTAATTAGAAAAGATATAAGCACCCCATGTTAGCTGCAGCATTATTTGCAATATCCAAGATATGGAAGCAACCTAAGTATCTGTTGATAGACGAATGGATAAAGAAAATACGAAAATAAAAAAAAAATTATAAAAGAAGAAGAAAAAGGAAAAAAAGATGTCCTGTGTATACACACACATACACAAACAACGGAATATTACTCATCCATAAAACAGAATGAAAACTTGCCATTCACAACAACATGGATGGACCTAGAGGGTATAAGGCTATGTGAAGTAAGTCAGAGAAAAACAAATACCATATGATTTCACTCATATATGGTATTTTTTAAATTTTTTAATGTTTATTTATTTTTGAGAGAGAGAGACAAAGCATGAGCAGGGAAGGGGCAGAGAGAGAGGGAAGTCACAGAATCTGAAGCAGGTTCCAGGCTCTGAGCTGTCAGCACAGCTCAGAACTCATGAACTGCGAGATCATGACCTAAGCTGAAGTTGGTGGGTTAACTGACTGAGCCACCCAGGTGCCCCTCATATATGTTATTTAAGAAACAAAACAAATGAACAAAGACAAAAAAAGGAAAAACAAAACGAAAAATCATTACTCTTAAATATAGAGAACAAACATGGTTGCCAGAGAGAAGGTGCAGGGTAGGGTAGGTGAAACAGCTGAAGAGGGTTAAAAATAACATTTATTATGATAAGCACTGAGTAATGTATAGAATTGTTGACTCATATTGCATACCTGAAATAAATATAACACTGTATGTCAATTATAGTTGTATAAAAAATGGTTTAAAAAAAGCAATGAAAGTGCCGAAGCAAGAATGCACCTGGTATCTGAGGGAAAGAGTGAAAGCCACTGAGGCTGTACAGTAATAAAATAGGGCAAGAAGTTGGAAGATGAGATGGGAGAGAAATGATTTATCCCCATTTAAAAATATCCTTTCTAGGGGCGCCTGGGTGGCGCAGTCGGTTAAGCGTCCGACTTCAACCAGGTCACGATCTCACGGTCCGTGAGTTTGAGCCCCGCGTCGGGCTCTGGGCTGATGGCTCAGAGCCTGGAGCCTGTTTCCGATTCTGTGTCTCCCTCTCTCTCTGCCCCTCGCCCGTTCATGCTCTGTCTCTCTCTGTCCCAAAAATAAATAAACGTTGAAAAAAAAAAATTAAAAAAAAAAAATCCTTTCTAGGGAAAGACTGAAAGGAGGTGTGCAGACAGAGCATAGAAGCAGTGAAACCATTTCAGCTACAATAGCAATAAGACGTGCCAGAATGATGTGAGTTGGCCTAGGATGAAAGCAATGGAAAAACAATTAAGTATCAGATTTAGCATATTTTTTAGAAGTAAAGCTGACAGGATTTGGAGATGGATTAAATGTGAGATGTAAAGGTAGGAAGGAACAGAGATGATGCCTAAATTTTGGCTTGAAAAGCAGTTAATAATAGGAACCTATCATAGGTCAGACACTGCTGATTGGTGGAAATAAAATAGTGAGGAACATTACCTAAGTGGTAGGCAGAATTCTAAAATGACGACCAATATCCCTGCCCCTAATATACATATCCTGTATAATCTCATCCTCTTGAGAACAGGTGTCACCTGTAAATATGATGAATATCATCCCCACGGTTAGGTTATATTATATGACACAGTATGCTTTAAAAAAGGGAGATTAGGGGCGCCTGGGTGGCTCAGTTGGCTAAGCGTCCGACTTCGGCTCAGGTCACGATCTCACAGCCCGTGAGTTCGAGCCCCGCGTCAGGCTCTGGGCTGATGGCTCAGAGCCTGGAGCCTGCTTCCGATTCTGTGTCTCCCTCTCTCTCTGCCCCTCCCCCATTCATGCTCTGTCTCTCTCCGTCTCAAAAATAAATAAACGTTAAAAAAAAAAAATTAAAAAAAAATAAAATAAAAAAGGGAGATTAAAAAATTTTTAAAAGGGGGCACCTGGGTGGCTTATTAATAAGCATCTGACTCTTGAATCCGGCTCAGTTCATGACCTCACAATTTGTGAGATGGAGCCCCCAATCAGGCTACGTGTTGAAAGCACAGAACATCCTTGGGATTCTCTCTCCCTCTCTCTCTGCTCCTTCCTGGCTTGTACTATCTCTCATACTCTCTCAAAATAAATAAATAGGGAGGAGTCAACATGGTGGAGAAGGAGGGGGACCTGAAGTTCCCTCGTCCCTCAAACACAGCAGTATTGAGGCCAGAAGACTTGGAATTCCATGAATCTAGGCTACAGTGTGACAGAAACATCTCCAGGGGCCCACGGGGAGAGTTTGGCATGCCATAGGTGCGTAATTATGAGCTGGAAGAGATAAAATGGGTAGTGTAGGCATGGAGGGAAGGGATCCCCTTCTGTAGACAGACAAAAAGAAGAAAACGAAAAGCTGTGGAAGTGTAGGATTGTATGTGGACTAGAGAAAAACCATGGAGCAAGGAACAGAAAAAAATGGAGAAAGAGCCAATTTCTAACTCATTCCAGGGTTGCCTGCCATGCTGTTCATGTGCTTGGGGAGAAAGGGAGCCTGCTCCGGGCTCAGTAGTAAGCTCAGAGGTACAGTTGTAGAGGGCAGTCCCCTTCGCTGAGTGCTGTGGGAAGAAGGCATTTGGCCACTTCAAGGACAAAAGACCCTGCAAGCACCTGCCAGCCAGAGGCCCTTTGTCAGCTGGCTGGGCAGAGTGCCTCAATCCTGGAACCAGGGTACATGGAGTGGGATCCTTTAAGACATGGGGGTTTGAATCCCAGCCAAGCACCTGGGAGGCAGTAGAGACTGTGGAGCAAGACAAACTGGTGTGCTTGTGCCCACCCTGGCACTGTGAGGAGCCAGAGTCCCTTTGTCAGCTGGCTGGGCAGAGTGGCACTACTCCAGAACTAGGGTGCATGAAGCGGGATCCTTTAAGACATGGAGTCTGAATCCCAGCTGAGTGCCTGGGAGGCACAGGAGACTGTGGAGTGCAACAAACCGGCCCACTCCCAGCACTGTGAAGATGGCTTGAACACAGTGGTTTGGGACACCCGGTCCTGGGAGGAGAGACTGGGATGTTGCCAATTTTCTCCCCATCACCAACAATGTGGGACTTCAGGGAAAGGACAATGGGCCCACAGTGGAGGCGGAGCCCACCTACACCAAACCAGGTCCTTCTTTGCCTAGTAACTGCATATCTACCAGAGCAAAACTGACACTGTCCAGATGAGACAGCCCCTCCTCCAGACCAGCACAGCTACCAATTTCAAGGCAGCATCAGATATCAGTACAGTGGTTTTGCATTTTCTGATTTGATTTGTGGTCAATTCTTATGTTATGTATTATATATTTATTATTTATTATATTATATATTATATGTATATATGTATTATTATATTACATATATGTATATATTATATACATAAAATATATAATATATATTATTATAATATATAATATATTATAATATACAATTATACAACTATACAATATATATTATAATATATAATTATACATATATATTATTATATGTATATAATATATTATATTATTATATATTATATGTATATAATATATATTATATATTATATGTATTACATATTTATTTATATACATAAATTATATTTATAAATATATAGTTATATATATTATAAAATACATTTTACATATACACATATAAATACATAAATTGTGTATATATAAAATACATAAAATGTGTATATATATATAATACATAAAATGTGTGTGTGTGTATATATATATGTGTGTGTGTGTGTGTATATATATATATGTGTATATATATATATATATATATATATATAATTTCTTCCCTTCTCTATTATGGTTATTCTAGTTGTTGGTTTGTTTAAGCAGACATTTTTAATCTATTCTTTTTACACCTCTTCTGTATCTCCTTTCTTATTTTCCTCTCTTTCTCTCAGGATTAAGCCAAATATTTTCTCTGATATTCTGCCTGGTCAATTTTTTTTCTTTTCTTTTTCTCCACCCCTATCATTTCTCTCTTTGTATGGTATAAGGCTTCTTCCACCATCTCCTCCTTTTTAAAATTTTTTCCAGGGTTACTTCAATGAACAAATCAAAACACACCTGGGAGGTCCAATCCACCAATACAAATAGGGAGATAAAGCAATCAGAGTCACAACAACAAAGAGCATGCAACACACTCCAAAAACACCTGAAAGGCCAGGCCCTGGACAGTGTATGACTCCTTGTTAACATAGTAGTGCTCACAGGTGCAGGGCACATAACAAGCTATTAAAACACATAAGGGACAGAAAACTAGCTAAAATGACAAAACAGAAGAATTCTCAAAAGAAATTCCAGGAAGAAGTGACAGAGAATTGCTCAAAACAGATATAAGCAATGTATCTGATCAATAATCTAGAATAGTCATAAGATTAATAGCTGGGCTTGAAAAAAAGCATAGAAGACAGCAGAGAATCTATTGCTGCAGAGATCAAGGAACTAAGAAATTGTCACAATGAATTAAGAAATGCCATAAATGATGTGCAAAATAAACTAGATGCAGTGACAGCAAGAATGAAGGAAGCACAGAAATAATGAAATAGAAGATAAAATTATGGAAAATGGTGAAGCTGAGAAAAAGAGATAAGAAAATACTAGACCACAAGGGGAGAATTAGAGAACTAAGTGATTTGATGAAATGTAATAAATCTGTATCAAAAGAGTTCCAGAAGAAGAGAGACAGAAAAGGGCAGAAGGTTTACTTGAACAAATTTTTGCTGAGAACTTCCCTAACCTGGAGAAGGAAACAGACATGCAAATCCAGGAAGCACAGAAAACTGCCTTCAGATTTAACAAGAATAGGTCTTCTCCAAGGTGTATCATGGTGAAACTGGCAAAATACAGTGTTAAAGAGAGAATTCTGAGCTATGGACAAATGGGCCTTAACCTGTAATGTTAAACACATAAGGATAGCATCAGATGTGTCCACTGAAACCTGGCAGGCTGGAAGGGAGTGTCAGGAAATATTCAATGCACTGAATAGGAAAATTATGCAGCAAAGAATCCTTTATCCAGAAAGGCTGTCATTCAGAATAGAAGGAGAGATAAAGGCTTTCCTAGACAAAAACTGAAGGAGTTCATGACCACTAAACCAGCCCTTCAAGAGATCCTAAGGGGGACTCTGTGAGTGGCATGGTGCAAAGACAATAGAGGACCAGAGACATCACCATAAGCATGAAACCTACAGATAACACAATGACTCTAAATCCATATCTTTCAATAATAACTCTGAATGTAAATGGACTAAATGCTCCAATCATAAGACATAGGGTATCAGAATGGATAAAAATAAAAAAAAATAAACAAGATCCATCTATATTCTGCCAACAAGAGACTCATTTTAGAACTGAGGACACCTTTAGATTGAAAGTGAGGGGACAGATAACCATCTATCATGCTACTGGAAGTCAAAAGAAAGCTGGAGTAGCTGTACTTATTATCAGACAAACTAGATTTTAAACGAAAGGTTGTAACAAGAGATGCAGAAGGGCATTATATCATAATTACAGGGTCTATACATCAAGAAAAGCTAACAATTGTAAATGTTTATACCCCCAACTTGATAGAACCCAAATATATAAATCTATAATCACAAATATAAGTAATATAATTGATAAGAATACAGTAATTGCAGGGGACTTTAATACTCCACTTACAACAATGGACAGAACATCTAGGCAGAAAATCAATAAAGAAACAATGGTCTTGAATGATACACTGAACCAGGTGAACTTGATAGATATGTTCAGAACTTTTCATTCAAAAAAAGCAGAATACATTCTTCTAAAGTGCACATGGAACATTCTCCAAGATAGATCACAAACTGGGTCACAAAACAGCCCTCAATAAATACAAAAGAATTTAGATCATACCATGCATATTTTCAGATCACAATGCTATGAAACTTGAAATCAACCACAAGAAAAAATTTGGAAAGCCTCCAAATACATGGAGGTTAAAGAACATCCTACTAAAGAATGAATGGGTCAACCAGGAAATTAAAGAAGAAATTAAAAATTATATAGAAGAAAATGAAAATGAAAACATGACAGTCCAAACCCTTTGGGATGCCTAAAAAGGCAGTCTTAACAGGAATACATTGTGATCCAAGCCCATCTCAAGAAAAAAGAAAAATCCCAAATACAAAACCTAACCACACACCTAGAGGAACTAGAAGCAGAACAGCAAAGAAACCCCAAAGTCAGCAGAAGAAGACAAATAATAAAAATTAGAGCAGAAAGAAACAATATACAATCCAAAAAAACAGAAGAATAGATCAGTGAAACTAAGAGCTGGGTGGGTTTTTTTTTTTTTTTTGAAAAAATAAACCAAATTGACAAACACCTAGCCAGACTTTTCAAAAAGAAAAGAAAAAGAACCCAAATAGATAAAATCACGAAGAGGAGAGATCACAACCAACACCACAGAAATACAAACAATTATTAGAGAATACTATGAAAAACTATATGCCAACAATCTGGACAACCTGGAAAAAAATGGACAGATTCCTAGACACCCACACACTACCAAAACTCAAATGGGAAGAAACAAAATTTGAATAGACCCATAACCAGCAAAGAAATTGCATCAGTTATCAAAATATCTCACCAAATAAGAATCCTGGGCCAGATGGCTTCCCAAGGGAATTCTAACAGACATTCAAAGCAGAGTTAATACATATTCTTCTCAAGCTGTTCCAAAAAAATAGAAATGGAAGGAAAGATTTAGGATACATTACTATGATTCCCAAACCAGACAGAGACCTCACTAAATGGGGGAATTACAGGCCAATATCCCTGATGAATGTGGATGCAAAAATTCTCAACAAGATGCTAGCAAATGGAATTCCTCAGCATATTAAAAGATTTATTCACCAGGATCAAGTGGGATTCATTTTTGGGCTGCAGGGCTGGTTCAATATTTGCAAATCAATCAATGTGATACATCACATTAACAGAAGAAAGGATAAGAACCATATGATCCTGTCAATAGATGCAGAAAAAGTATTTGACAAAATACAGCATCTTTTCTTAATAAAAACATTCAAGAAAGTTAGGGTAGAAAGACTATACCTTAACATCATCAAAGCCATATCTGAAAAGCCCACAGATAATAACATCCTCAATGGAGAAAAACTGAAAGCTTTCCCCCTGAGATCAGGAACACAACAGGGATGTCCACTCATACCACTGTTGTTGTGTTGTTGTGTTCCAACCAACATAGTGTTGGAAGTCCTAGCCTCAGCAATCAGACAATAAAATGAAATGAAAGGCATCCAAATTGGAAAAGAAGAAGTCAAACTTTCACTTTTTGCAGATAACAGATACTCTACATGGAAAACCCAAAAGACTCCGCCAAAAAGCTGCTAGAACGGATATATGAATTCAGCAAACTTGCAGGATACAAAACCAATGTATAGAAATCTGAGAAATCAAGAAATTGATCCCATTTATAATTGCACCAAGAACCATAAAATACCTAGGAATAAATCTAACTAAAGAGGGAAAAGATCTGTATGCTGAAAACTATAGAAACCTTATGAAAGAAATTGAAGAAGACACAAAGAAATGGAAAAACATTCCATGCTCATGGATTGGAAGAACAAATATTGTTAAAATGTCAATACTACCCAAAGCAATCTGCACATTCCATGCAATCCCAATCAAAATTGCACGGGTACTCTTCTCAAAGCTAGAACAATAAGTCCTAAAATTTATCAAACCACAAAAGACACTGAATAGACAAAGTAGAGTTGAAAAAGAAAACCAAAGCAGGAGGCATCACAATCTTGGACTTTAGCCTCTACTACAAAGCTGTGATCAACAAGATAGTATGGTATTGGCACAGAAACGGACATACAGATCAACGGAATAGAATAGAGAACCCATTTTGGACCCACAAATGTATGGCCAAATAATATTTGACAAAGCAGGAAAAAGTATCCAATGGAAAAAAGTCTCTTAATAAATGGTGCTGGGAGAACTGGACAGCAACATGCAGTAGAATGAAACTGAACCACTTTCTTATACCATACACAAAAATAAGGTCAAAATGGATAAAAGACCTAAATGTGAGACAGGAAACCATCAAAACCCAAGAGGAGAAAACTGGCAACAACCTTTTTGACCTCAGCTGCAGCAATTTCTTGCTTGGCATGTCTCTGAAGGCAAGGGAATTAAAAGCAAAAATGAACTATTGGGACCTCATCAAGATAAAATGCTTCTGCACTGCAAAACTAAAAGGCAACCGATGGCATGGGAGAAGATATTTGCAAATGACATATCAGATAAAGAGTTAGTATCCAAAATCTATAAAGAACTTCCCAAACTCAACACCTGAAAAACAAATAATCCAGTGAAGATATGGGCAGAAGACATGAATACACATATTTCCAAAGAAGACATCCAGATGGCAAACGGACACACGAAAAGATGCTCAACATTACCCACCATCAAAACAAATACAAATCAAAAGGAAAATAAAATCAAAACCACATTGAGATACTACCTCACACTAGTCAGAGTGGCGAAAATTAACAACTCAGGAAACAAGAGATGCTGGTGAGAATGTGGAAAAACAGGACCCTCTTGCACTAATGTTGGGAATGCAAACAGTGCAGCCACTCTGGAAAACAGTGTGGAGATTCCTCAAAAAATTAAACATAGAACTACCCTATTACCCAGCAATATCACTACTAGGAATTTATCCAAAGGATACAAGAGTGCTGATTCATAGGGGCACATGGACCCCAAAGTTTATAGCAGTGATTTCAACACTAGCCAAGTTACAGAAAGAGTCCAAATGTCCAACAATTGATGAAAGGGTAAAAAAGATGTGGTATATATATAATGGAATACTACCTGCAATGAGAAAGAATGAAATCTTGCCATTTGCAACAATGTGGATGGAACTGGGGGGTATTACGCTAAGTGAAGTAAGTCAGAGAAAGACAGATATCATGTTTTCACTCACGTGTGGAACTTGAGAAACTTAACAGAAGACCATGGGGGAAGAGAAGGGGAAAAAGTTTCAAACAGAGAGGGAGGCAAACCATAAGAGACTCTTAAATACAGACAACAAAATGAGGGTTAATGGTGGGGGGTGGAGAAGAAATTGGGTGATGGGCATTGAGGTGGACACTTGTTTGGATGCGCACTGGGTGTTGTATGTATGCAATCAATCCCGGGAATCTACCCCCGAAGCCAAGAGCACCTTGTATACACCGTATATTAGCCAACTTGACAACAAATTATATAAACAAACAAACAAGCATAAAAAAGTGAGATTATCCTAGGTGATCCCAATCTAATCAGAGGGGCCCTAAAAGTGACTGGACCTTTCCTGAAGGGAGACAACATGTAAATTCAATCAACATGAGAGAGATTGGAAATGTGAGAGAAACAATACAGGTAGCCATGTCCCAAGGACCTGTAATTAGCCTCTAGAAGCTGAGAGCTGTGCCTGGCCAGCAGCCAACAAGAAAACAGGAAACTCTTACTTAAAAATAAAAATCTTAAATTAAAAAATGGGGCACCTGACTGCCTCAGTTGGTAGAGCATGTGACTCTTGATCTTGGGATTGTAAATTTGATCCCACATTGGGTGTAGAGATTACTTAAACATAAAAATCTTAAAACAAAAACAAAAACAGGGACTTCAGGCATGCAGTCATAAAGAGCTATATTCTGCCAACAGGCGGAGAGACTTGGAAATGGCCTTAGTTGAGTCTCCAGATGAGGATATATTCAGCTGACACCTTGATTTCAACCTACTGAGAACCCAACCATACTATGCTAGATTCCTGATTCACAGAAAATCGGTAATACATTTGTGTTTTTTAAAGCTACTCAATTGTGGTAGCTTCTCACACATCCATAGAAAACTAATACAATCTATTTAATCTGTTTCATGGAACCTACAGTTTCCTAGAAAATAGGAAGAGAAGAAGAGCAGATAAATAATATCTTTTTTTTTTTTTTAAGAAGGCTCTCTATCAGTATGAGATTGGGGTTGAACATGGCATGGAAATGGGATCTTTTATGTCAGAAGAGATTGGTAGTGGTTGGCTACTGAAGACCAAGTAACAGACCTGAGATTAGTGTGGTAGTAGCAGAGATTGAGCAAAGAGGACCTATTAAGAGACATTATGAGGCAATATTGAGGGACCAGAACAATATGATATGACAGGAGATATTAAAAGAAAAGATGAGCATCCATATGAGGCCAGTCATAGTCTACAATATTGGATATTCCCTTAAATCTAAGTCACACTGAGGCATCGGCTTCCAGCTTTAGCAAGAGGAAAATTGGGACACTGATCACTTAACATATCACCAACTTTTGTTACATTATTTGTGCCACACTCAAATTTAATATTATCACCATTATTCTATATTTTTATTCAATGTTAAGAATTAACACATGTTAAGGCATAAATATGAGTTACAAAGCCTGAGAACTTCTCTAAGTAATTTAAATATACTGCTATATTATTGCTAGACTCCAATGATGCCCAACTAGCTAAATGACCCTTTTGAATTGTTAACACAACTTTTGGAATCAACTTTCTCTATACTCATATCACAGATTATCAGTTTTGAATTTGTGATTTATTTAATCTCTTGATCCACTAGATTATGCATTCAAGCAATTAAAAAAAGATTTACATACACTGTGTATAATATTATTTGTCTTATAAGTGAGATTCTCTTTCCCAGATCCTGACATGTGAAAGTCAATTTAGCTACCTAAAAGTTGTGGCATAGAGTTTTTCTCTGAAATATTTATAAATGGTACATTTTGTCTTCTGGCATTTAGTGTTACAGAGATAGCTGAGGTCAGGTTGATTTTAGTTCTTACTACAAAAAGTATGACATTTCATTTTGCTTTGCCTTTACTGTTTTGACTTTTTTTTTTTACTAAATGAGAGAAAAATATTTTTATCATTTATATTCATTTGCCTGTTTTTAAATTTTTGTTGCTGTTGTTGAGTTTATGATTTGTGTTGATGTTTCCCATAACATGGTACTTTCAATGGATATATTTGAGACTGTTTCAGCTCTGCAAAGTTGTCTTCATTTGTCTTTCTTATTCTCATTCCAATCATTATGTCAGCTAATTTTGATGTTTTCCTCTATTTCCTTTTTATTTTTTGAGAGATTTATTACAGGATTTTTCTCAAAATCTGACTTGATTTTCCTTGATACCAATTCTGTTTCTCATTGGATGGCACAAAATGTTTTATATTCCATTTTTTTAGATGACTTAAATTTTGTTTCCTTTACATATTTACTTATTATTTCTGTTTCCACAGAAACTTGCTATATGTTCCAGTTTCTCAGTTGTAATGTTTCCTATTATTCTTTTGACACTTTTCTTCTGATTCCTGCAATAAATTGTTTATGAGATCTGTTCATTCTTTAAATACCAAAGCAATATTGCCTTCCACTTTATCTGTTGAATTTTTTTTAATTGGGTGCCTACAAATACGGAAAGTGGTTATAATAAAAAAGAAAAAAAAATGTTCCAGGAAAAGTGACATCAGTAAAAAACATTAAAGAAATTCTTGGGGCTCCTGGGTGGCGCAGTCGGTTAAGCGTCCGACTTCAGCCAGGTCACGATCTCGCGGTCTGTGAGTTCGAGCCCCTCGTCAGGCTCTGGGCTGATGGCTCAGAGCCTGGAGCCTGTTTCCGATTCTGTGTCTCCCTCTCTTCTGACCCTCCCCCGTTCATGCTCTGTCTCTCTCTGTCCCAAAAATAAATAAACGTTGAAAAAAAAAATTTAAAAAAAAAAAAAAAGAAACTCTTTGGAGATATTTCATGACACTGAAAATGCAAAGGATAAAATGTTGGGAGCTGACCCAAACTTAGAAAGGAGTATGACAATTTGCCAAGATGTAGAAAATTCTCACTCTGTACTGTAAGTTATATGATGAAATGAAAAGGCCAGCATTATTAAAAAAGAACTTTTGATTTTTTTCAAAGAAATAAAACATTTCAATTTTCAATATTTCTAATGTTTTAATTACAGTATACCAAGTATTAGTTTCACTATTTTTTCACTTCCCTGTACATTTATAACTGCCAGTAAATTTTAATTTTTGACAAGGTTTTAAAAGTCACAGAACAATTGTAACTTTTCCCATTGATTATTAAGATTGCTTTGTGCAATTTCAGTTTGTATCGTTATTATTGCTGTCCTATATTACCCCACAAAGTGAAGACTTTCTGTATTAGGTCTGTATAATCATATTTATACAAAGTCTATATGCTATCATCTATAGTCACTCATTCTATTGATTTTTGAGGATGGGGAAAAGATTGACAAGAAAAGAACAATAATTATTTTTAAATAAGAAAGTAATTTCTCATTGAATTAGTGCTTCCTATGATTTTTGAATTTCTAAAATAAATAAGTAAATATAAACATTATCCTATTTATACTTTAAATCATATGTGTTGTTGGAGAGGGGGTATTGTTCTTTAGCTGACATAGATGTTTATTGAGTTGATTTATCAACATTATGTTAGAAGAGATATGAAATAAATATTCATGCTACCTAGCATCATAGTCCTAAAAATGATGCTGTTATTTGCATATGCACCAGTGAGGCTCATAACCTGGGAAGCTTCCCTCAGAGCCTTTACGTGACAGTAGGATACAGTACTCTTCAGTCTCTGCCACCAATAATTCAATCTGATTTCTTTCCTTCAGGAGCAACTGTCATCTAGGAAATTTGTTTAAATAACAGCAACAGCATAGATTGTCATTTATTTTATTATTCTATTCCTGTTCTAGCTAGATAAGAGCAGAAAGATAATTAATTCAGTGATGAGTTACAGGTAAAATGCCATTTCAGCTATTATGAAATAAATGGAGGATTACAGTAGAGAGACATGGTGGCATACCTGTGAGGGACAATGCTTTCACTTCTTTTCAGGCTCTTTCTGTCCTCAATGATAAATATTCATCATTTAGCACTGCAGTCTAGGCAATTGTATGTTAGATGGATAGATAGATAAATACATAGATAGATGTTGCACAGATTTATATTAGAACAAAAGTATTTCAAAATTTTAAACTACTTTTTTATCACATTTTTAAATAATTCAGATGGACATAGTTATCTTTTAAGTATAAAAATATTCATCATTGGATGGTAAATGCTATTACATCATAATTAAAAAAAAATTTAAGTTTATTTACTTTTGAGAGAGAGAGAGAGAGAGTGAGTGGGAGAGAGAGAGAGAGAGGGAGACACAGAATCCAAAGCAGGCTCCAGTCTCTGAGCCATCAATACACAGCCTGATGCAGGGCTTGAACCCACAAACTGCAAGATCATGACCTGATCTGAAGTCAGATGCTTAACCAACTGAGCCATGCAGGTGTACCTAAAATGTTTATTTATTTATTTTTGAGAAAGAGAGAGAAATAGCACAAGTAGGGGAGGAACAGAGAGAAAGAGGGAGACACAGAATCTGAAGCAGTCAAGCTGTCAGCTCAGATCCCAATGCGGGGCTCGATCCCACAAACCATGAGATCATGACCTGAGCTGAAGTTGAATACTTAACCGACTGAGCCACCCAGGTGCCCCTAAAACACATTTTCATAATCTAATCTATCCTACTGATACTCACAAGAATTATGAGCATCTGGTAAATATTTTTAATATTATAAAATGTTAAAACTTGAAAGTAGCATGCTTATGTTATAAACGACAGAAATGTAGCTAAATGCCAAAAGAAGGCAAACTAAATGACCCACAAGAGATAAAAAATTCATATTAGGATATTGTTTTGATATGTATGACAAAATATTCACATAAACGGGTGTGTTATCTTTAATCAAAGTCCATAATCCTGCTTTCCCCATCTTTATTAACATCACACATCTGAAGTCTATATTCTTAAAGTATTGTGAAGGTTGGAGAAGGTAATGGATCAGGTCCTGTTTACATTTTCCTTATATTTTCCTAACATTATACAAATAAGGAATGATTGTGATCATTTTCTTATTTTACATGAATATTTTTTAAAAATACACTTTTGTTTATAGCATAAAGAGTTCAGGAATTTCTCTTCATTACTTTCTCCCTTCTATAAATATAATTGAGTGTCTACTGTATGCCAGGGTCTGTACTATGCAATTATATCAAATAAGATTTCACTCCTTCCCTAAAGGAGATTACAACCTAAAAAAAAAAGAAAAAAAATCATTCAGGGTTCTGATAGAGTCTGACAGAAGAAGGAGTAAAAATGAGACTACTGGATGTTCAGGAAAACTTCTGAAAAAAAAGAATATACTTGACCTGTGTATTGGAAGATAAATAATAATTAGCAAGTAAATAAGAAAAAGGGTATATATGTATGTCAAGAGAACATGAACCTGAAAGTTCAGTATGTAAAATAAATAGAGATATAAAACATATATAGTACTTATTCAGTGGTCTATTCTTGTAAAGATGTTGGAAAGAAAAATAAGATACTGCTTCCTTTCTCATAAAGTTTATAAACTAATAAAGGAAAGAAAATCAGATATACGTGCAGTTGTAATGCAAGGTAGAATGTGCCACAAACAAAATACCAAAAATATTCTGAAGTTCAGCAATGGGAGAAAACATGTCTGGTTCTAGGGATAATGAAATATGTGGCCTTGAAATAGTAGTTAAAGAATAGGTAGGACTTCTGTAGATCTATTTTTGAGGGATAATTCAGTCATGAGTAACAAAAATAGTCATGGAAAACACTGAATATCCTGGGAAAACTGACCAATTTGATTGAAGAGACTCAGTTTGCTTTAAAGACAAGTAGTAAGAATCAAAGAAAGAGAAAAAGTGACTTTGATTGGAATGTTAAGGAAAACAACATATGTTTATACAGTTACTTTTATAGTAAGTAATAAGGAAGAATTTTAAATGCTTAAACAGCTCACCTGATTATATTCTGTTATGACATTAAGGTAGAATATGTAAATGGTTTTATGCATGTAAATACACAAATACACACCAACACAAACATCTTAACAATAGATTATATTGTGTACCCTATTTTTAATCTATCTTTTAATGTAATATAATTGTGG